GCCTAACACTTTTTTTCCTTTTTATAAGTGTGGAGGAAGATTAGTACCTCTTTTAGTACAAAACCTCTGTTTTGTACTTTACATCTCCTCTGTTTGTCCTGGTAACCCCTATAACAGAGAGAAAGTGATGGGAAATACAACCTTTTACGGTTGTCAGCAGATCGAAAACCAAGGGGAAATCTTCCAATAGAAACTCCTGTTCAGGTGACAACCGTCTTAAGATTCCGTGTTTTTTTGTTTTTTTTTTTGCGGCAATGGAACTGTTCAAATCACTGCGACTTCTAAAGTATTTTCACAATTTCTGTGCAGCTTCACTGCGACTTGCATTGGCATCTGTTAAATGAAGTTGCACAGATGTCAAGCCGCCCATGAAATCACACTGATAGTCGGCTTTCCATTTGTGCTGAGGTAGCACAACCTCAAAGCCACACAGGTGTGAACCAGGGCTTACTTTTGTGTCTCTGGGACAGGACCAAGAAGCAGAACTACTTTCACACTGATCAATATTTCGTCTGTGTTTGCCTTACCAAAAGCAGAAAAGAAATTGCATGACCATTAAATCCTGTGGAGCTCTTCACAACAGTCAGTTGCTTTTTTAAACGTCCTGCTTGCTGCATTTTTGGTGCGGTAAAAACCCCCCCACAAAAAACGCACCTCCCCATTGAAATGAATAGAAAATGCGGCAAAACGCACCTGCAGTTGCTTTTTTTGGTGCATTTTTGGAGTCGCATTTCCATTTTTTTTTTTCTTCACAGGTGCAAAATGCACTGGAAGCACACTTGCAATGAAGCAATATGAAAGCAGCCTTAAACAGAACACAACGGGAAAATAAACTGAGAGGAGTTAAAGCTGAGCTGAAAAAAAAAAAATATATATTTTCTACATATCTTGTGAAGTGTGTATTTCTCCCACATCTATGCAGTAATCCAGTGTGAAACTTTATCTCTGTGCAGGAACTTCCTGTAATAAAGGCCGCTTACTGCTTCTCTCTCTCCTTATATATATTTAAATGAGTTTTTTGGCTAAAAAAAGTTTTAGTTGACATATACTTTAGGATTTTTTGCATTGGTTTTTGTTTTTGGATTGGGTAACTGTTTTTTATGTTTGCACACTAGGTAGTTGATTTTTTTTCTGTCATTGTGTAACAGCCTGCCTGTATGAGGTACCAGCAGACAGCTACATTGACAGTCTGCAGAAGCCATGCATTGCACCTGCCATCTGCTGATTGTTGGTGCAATGCTTTCCAGGCTCCTACAAAAAAAAAAAAATAAAGTTGCAAAGTTTCCTACCTGCAAACAAATGTGCATATATTCAATTTTTAATTATTTATTTTTTTAAAGGTGAACTTAACCCTTAAAGTATCATCCCCCCCCCCTAATACTTACCTGAACCCTCACCAATCCAGCGCAGTGCCCGTCTGCAGCGGCTCTCTCCACTTCTCCGTTTTCACAGGCTTGGGTGAGAGCAGTGGGAGCCATAGGTTCCCGTTGCTGTAAGTCACATCCTGTGATGATGGAGTGTGGGTGAGTGTGAGTGTGGAGTGTGCTGAGTCTCGCCATTTGTGTCAATGAACACAGGCAGCGCGGTTCGGGATCGAGCACTTGGGGGTGTCATGTTAGGAAGTGGCCTCTCATGGTGGTACACAAAGAAGAGAAGGAGCCAGGAACGCTTGCTAGGGACCCGAGAAGAGGATGTTCAGGGTCACTCTGTGCAATTTAGTTGCACAGGGTAAGTAAGTATAAACCTGTTTTGTTTGTAAAATCTAAAAATGTTTTTTTTTTTTTTTTAAATCACTTTAAACTGATCAGCTCTGCCCTGTTGTGTACTGCTATCATGTAAGATCTATTCTTATGTCTGAACAACATTAGAGCTTATTAGTGGACAAATGTAGTTTGAGATGCATTCCGCTTGCATTTGACAACTGTTTGAGCCGCTACAAAGAATACTCTGAGTTCATTGACAGGAGCGTTTGACCAGCTTAGAGCAACTGACCTGCAGTTGCGTCATCAATCTGCTTTATGCATCATTTTTATTCCTTTTTGACTTGTATAGGTAGATATGATGTGAACAAAACTCAACCAAACAGCTTCTTACCTCTGATCACAGGAAGGTCGTGTTCACATCAACTTGGAGACAGAAGTCTGTTTAGCATTTCTTCAATCGTTTTCTGAAGTAGGTTTCTGTAGTTGCAACCTCTGTTTTCTTTCATGACAGATTTAATTGTATATAGAGGTTCTGGACAGCTGGGTTTAGGAGAATCTAAAAGTATTTTTGTGCTGGCTTTCCTCCACTGTTCAGTGTCTTTGTTGGGCAGTCAGCCCTGTCATCCATCCAACACGCTTGAGTAAGTTAAAGTAAAACGAAAACATGATGTGGTTGTAAAACTGCTGAGAGTTTTGAAAGTGTGTGTGTGTGTGTGTGTGTGTGTGTGTGTGTGTGTGTGTGTGTGGTGTGTGTGTGTGTGTAGAATGCAGCACTTGATTACTACTCTAGTTTATTGCACAACGAAATGAAGACATTGAGGACAAAGACAGAATCTGTGTGCATGCAACTAGCTTCGGGAGTAAGGACAAGAGAGGGTATTGCTTAATGGCTTCCAGACAATAACCACTCGCCTAGCAGGCACTTTTACCCCCTTTCTGCCCAGCCCAATTTTCAGCTTTCAGTGCTGTTGCACTTTGAATAACAATTGCGCGGTCATGCAACACTGTACCTGTATTTGGTGGTTTTAAGTAATCTTAAGGCCTACAAAGTGCATTTTTAAAAGAGAAAAAATAGCCAAAGCTTTTTTTTTTTTTTTACCAAATTCTTCTTCTGGGCCACAGGGATGCACTTTTTTTTTTCTTTCCTGTGACCCAAATTCAGCTGACAGTGGGCTAAAATCTGCTGTCAGCTGATGTCACAGAATTGGTCCAATAATGTCAGGATCCACCCAGATGCCTGAATTGCAGCTTGCTCTGCTTCTGAGTGAGCCACTGAAAGCTTGATAGTCGCCACTCTCTGGTCAGTGAAGACCAGGGACTGAGCGATTAGTGGTCATAGGATTGCTAATTTCTTGGTCTTAGAGCTGACAGGGTCAGCTGTTGCATTGTACTAATGTTGCAGCGATATATTATTATTCAGTATTTATAAAGCGCCAATGGTTCACTCAGAGCTGTACATTACAAAGGGGGACAGAACATGTGACAGAACAATACCAATACAATGCAAAACATGAGGGGATTGAGGGCCCTGCTCTTTCGAGCTTACAATCTAGGAGGGAGGGGATGGTGGCACAGGAGGAGATAGCTGTGGGGGATGGAGTGGTAGGAAGAGTGGAGGAGGTCGGCAAGTTAGCAGGGGTGGGGTAGGCTTCCCTGAAGAGATGGGTTTTCAGGGTGGGCCTAAAGGAGAGGAGAGTAGGTGATAATCTGATGGGTTGGGGCAGGGAGTTCCAGAGGATGGGTGACACCCTGGAGAAGTCCTGGAGGCGGGCATAAGAGGAGGAGACCAGGGAACTAGAGAGAAGGAGGTCTTGTGAGGAGCGGAGTGTGCGTGCTGGGCAGTACTTGGATATTAGGTCAGTGATGTAGTTTGGGGCAGTATGGTGGACAGCTTTGTACGTCAGTGTTAGGATTTTGAATTTGATCCGTTGCGCAATCGGAAGCCAGTGGAGGGATTGGCAGAGGGGGGTGGCGGAGATGGACCGGTTGGAAAGGTGAATGAGTCTGGCAGCCGTATTCAGGATCGACTGAAGCGGGGATAGCCAGCGGCGAGGCAGGCCAGTGAGGAGGGAGTTGCAGTAGTTGAGTCGTGATATGATGAGGGAGTGGATGAGCTGTTTAGTGGTTTCTGGGGTTAGGAACGTGCGGATTTTGGCGATGTTGCGGAGGTGGAGTCTGCATGAGTTTGTTAAAGATTGGACTTGGGGCTGGAAGGATAGGTTGGAGTCCAGAATGACACCAAGTACTCTGGCCTGCGGGGCGGGTTTGATGGTGGCGTTGTTGGATGTAACAGAGAAGTCAATGGGGGGTGGTGTCCGGGCTGGGGGGAAGACAAGAAACTCGGTTTTGGAGAGGTTCAGGTGAGTATATATAGGTGAGTATGCATGTATATTTTATTGTTGTCCCACACTTACACAATATGTCTTGTACAGGGTTAGATGAACAAGTAATATGGTAAAGTGTTGCACTCTATCTTTTGTGTTTATTTGGATAATAATGTCCTATTCAATGGATAGCTTCTAATAGAACACATTTTTCCCTTGTATTTTATATTCTTATCGTGTTGTACACATCGGCAGTTTGTGGTTTCAGACCTTGTGTCCATTTTTGTGTTCCCCCAACATGGGTAGCTCTATAGAAGGCACATTGTAGCATGCAGTATACTCAGCATCAGAACGCAACACAATTCTTGGTATTGAAATTGTGTCAACACTGAGAATTTGTTCTTGTATGACATCTATTCTCTTTGCCTGGCAGTCCTCAAAAACCACAACACGTGAAAAGAAAAGTTTATTCTATGATGAACTGGATGGATTTGTGGTTTTTTTTTTTTTTTTTTTTTTTTCCCCTTCAACCAGATTAACTATCTAACTATATGAAAGCGCGTCCAATAAGAAGTGTGTGTTCAAAATGTACTTTATTGGTTCATTGTGTGTGTTTGTGTATGTGTGCGTTTCTTATCAGAATTGGGATATTGCTACCATTGTTGGAATCTTCATTCAGTGTCTTCCACTGTGTAGTTGGACTTGTTACAGGACTGAAAACAATAACTGCAAGGATAGTTGTATTTTTTCCTTTTCTCCAATGCTGTGGAATTAATGGTAAAGCCAGTGTTTTGTTTGGTGAAACATTTTCTTGATGTAATTTGTACTTTTGACGGCTTTCTGTGGATAGTTTGTGGTGGTGCTTTTTTATATCTGTGGTTCCTATATGATCTTTAGAAAGGCTTCTTTGATTAGTAGACAGCCACTGATGTGTCAAGATGAAGACATTTTATCAGAATATTTGTCTTTACAGACCGACACCTGTGGTGATTCTAGCTTGAGTGAAAGCCATGCATCTCCTCCAGCCAAACGTTCTTGCAAACATGTCGAGCCTGTCCGCAAGGAGAGCCCAAAAACCCATGCCAGCAAGCAGCGGGAGGGATGGAGTATGTCAACCAGAAGATCCAGGTAAATATTCCACCTTCAAATATCCAGCCTGTGTTGTGTGTTTGTCAATAGTGTCCTCTGTTTATGACTGCTGTAATACTTTTAAAATGTCCACCTATGTAGTCTAACCAATACTGTATCAAAATGATGCTGTGGAACTGGAAATATGATGTTAAGAAGAGGTGCCACGATATGGTTTTCATGTTTTAGTACGTACAAAATGGTGTTTTTGTTTATAATTAAGAGCTGTGAAAATGTGAGACCTCTATGGGGGCTGGCTCAAAAAAAACAAAAAAGGCAAAAATAAAAAAAAAAGAAATCAAGTAGTTGCAATCACACACATATCCAAGAGGCAGTGCTCAGCAAAGCATTAAGTACATATGATCTAAAATGAGCACCACTCGCAGGACTTGAAAGGTAAACCCACAATAAGGTTTTTTCAATGTTTTGAAGAGGCACAAGCTCTTCTTCCTCTGGGAGGAAATTTACATTCAAGAATGTTGCCTAAATTGCCGTTGGGACAGGATTGTTTTCTGTGTTAAAAAGCATTTCTGTGGGTTATCTAAACATTAATATACAATTCCCAGATTAAACCTAACTAGTCTTAAAACAGAACTTCACCCAAAAGGGCAAGTTCCACTTGTTTGTCTCCCTCCCCCCTCCACTGTAACATTTGGCACATTTTGGGGGGTGTAGGTACCTGGTTTTTACAGGTACTTGCTTCCACTTCTCATCGTGAACTGAGCCCCACTCCTTCCCCTGCAGTTTTCTGGGACTCTTCACAGATCCCAGAAGACTGTAGAACCATTCACAAAGTGCAGTGCACTTCACGCATGCGCAGTAGGAAAACAGCTGTGAAGCCACAAGGCTTCACTTCTGGTTTCCCTTACTGAAGATGCTGGCACCTGCACCCGAAGCTAATTGAAGAATCTGCTCAGGTGAGGACCAGGGGCGGACTGACCATTTGGAAACTCGGGCACTGAGATGCCCCTGGTACCTTTTTCATAGGCTTTTTTGAGTTTGGGCAAGGACACAGGGGCCCCATGATCCCCTATTGCCCGGGGGGCCCATGAGTTGTCAGTCCGCCCCTGGTGAGGACATATATGGACACTTACCTGTCCAGGGATCCAGCTGTTAAAAGTAAGCAGCTATAGTATTTGTAGCTGTTAACTTTTAATTTTTTGGGGGGAGCCTGAAGCTCCACTTTAAAGTGATAGTAAATCCTCAACTTGTAAAACAATCCATTCAGTTTAAAATAGAAATGAAAGACAAAACATTTCTGTATAGTTTAAAAAAAAAACCCCCATTATAAATACTTTTTTTTTCCCCCCATTTTTATACGTGATCACATACCCTCAATTCTCAGCTGCACAGAGAGCTGGGGGAGGAGAAACAGCAGAACACTGATCGTCCCAGTGAATGGCTGTGTGGGGGGGGTAGGGAACGGGTGTCAGGACAAGTCTGATCTTTGGAGGCAAGTAAGCTGAATTCCAAGCATAGCTAGAGAACTGACCACGTTGTGCTGTCATGCCTAGTGTGGTCAATTTTTAATAGGAAAGCAGAGGGACTAGCAGGAAAACCAGGGATTTTTACACAAAGGAAGCAATACAGAGAGAACTGGATACTTTTTTTTTTTTTTTTTTTTATATACAAGTACCCGGTACTGCAGGCACATATCAGTAATATGAGATGTTTGGGGTACAGAGCTTACTTTTTAAGCCTGGTAAACAATATATCAGACAAATGATCATCCTTTTTTTTTTTTCTTCTTGCATGCTAATCTTGCATCAACAATTAATAATTACTAGAGTTATAAAGACAAAATACAACTTCCCCTGATGATGTGAGCCCCCGCTTCTCATTAAAGATTGGCACCTTTGGGGAGCGGGGGGGGGGGGGGGGGGGGGGCGGGTGGTTGGTGTGGAGTGGAGCATGTACCCGCTCCCACTTCTGCTGCGATGACCTAGGCGTTCAGAAGCGGAAGTTGTCCTCCTACCCTCCTTCCCCGTAGTCTTCTGGGACAAGTGACATGTCCCAGAAGACTACAGGGCCATTCAGGAAGCCCAGTGCTACTCGTGCATGCGCAGTGGGCACCCGGCTGTGAAGTCGCAAGCTGTCACAGCTGGGTGCCCACACTGAAGATGCCGACGCCTGGAACATCAGACAGCTGGTGAAACGGGCCGCGGGGAGGACACCATGGGATTGTGGGACAGGTAAGTGGCTGTTTTTTAAAAGTCAGGAGCTACAGTCTTTGTAGCTGCTGACTTTTACTTTTTTTACAGTGTGAGTGGAACTCCGCTTTAATGCAATCCTTGCATTAAAGTATCTCCCCCTCACCCCCCATACACTTAGCCGAGCCCTTACTTGATCCAGCTCTGTGCCCATCTGCAGCTCTTCTGTTCCCTCACTCCCCAGTCTTTCAGGCTTTGCTGTCAATCAAAGGCAGTGTTGATGAAGCGGGGTGTGAGAATAAGTCCTGCTGTCTGTCAATAGGTGCAGGCAGTGAGGCTGAGGAGTGAGCCTACACAAATGCCCCCATAAAAAGGGGCAGTCGCAGGAGTAGAGGAGCCAGGATTGCTGGAACCCAAGAAGGGGAGGATCGGATCGGATCAGAGCAGGTAAGTATAAACCTGTTTAACTTTTTTTACAAAAACAATGTAGGCATTTACATCCAGTTTTAAGAATTGGAAAAAAAATTGAGATTCTGCATCCTAGCAGTGAATGTCCAAGATAATACAGTCCAGGGAATTTATAAAGGGTGTCATAGACGCTCTTTAAAATTCCATTCTAGCACAGCCTTAAAAGTGTTGGTGCTTGCAACCCATTCATGTACCTGTCACAAACAGGCAAGTGAATCTGTCCCTGTCTGCACTGAGGTCAGAGTGTGCACACTGCACTCTCCCCAGCCACTGCATCCATCTCACTGACAGTCACATGGCTGAGGAGTTTTGTGCTGAGTGGGGCAAGCCTAATGGTGGACCCGAGAGACTCGTTCCCCATCAAGTTAGCCTTACTTTTGGTACACTGCACTGTAGTGGGCGGATTCATAGTCCCTAATCAGTTCAATGGTGGATTTTGAATCCACCCACTACTGTGCACTGTCAATCAGAGTAAACTGGTCCTGGTTTGGAGCTGGTCTCTCAATTCCCCATCAGGCTTGCACATACTTTGACAAGCCAAATCCTGAACATGTGCATTACCATACTTGGGTAATGACTTCATCTGTATCCCCATTTGCATTCAGTTGAGATTCCCTGGCCAACAGTTGTGCGGGAAGCTGTCATGTACTGTACATGACACCTTCCCAACTCTTTATGCCAGCTCAGAGCTGGTCTTGATTACCTCCAGCTTCCTAATTTGAGAACTGGGGGTAATTCTGCCATAGAGTTGTGATAATAACAACTGTCTTAAAGGATAAGTTCACCTTTGGAACATGTTACTTGTTCTACCCGTTTTTAGGATTGAACATGTAACATTCCAGCATTTGCAACTTCTCCAACTGATCCCTCTCTCCCTGTGACAGCAGTCGGGGGGTCCTCTCCCTGCACCCTGCACTTTAGGCCACATTTGCACAGGCGTTTAGCCACAGTACGAATGGTTGCTGCAGAAATCTGCTGATTCCTGCTACTTTTGACAGGCGAGTGGTTAGCTGTGCATAGCTCCGAGCCTGTACACTTCAATGACCGTAAAATGCTTGTCTTTAGAAATCCTTCCCAGTGACACTTGCACTATGGTTTCCATGTCAATTAATTTTCTGTTTTCTTACATTTCAGGTTATTATCTCAGTCTGGTGCTACTTTACAGAATAGCCACAGTAGTTTAGGTAAGTATTATCCTTTAAAAACCAAATTGTAAAGAAGTTCACCCTTGGAAACATGTTACTTTTTTTTTTTTTTTATAGGATGTAACATGTTTCCATAGCTGCAGCTGCCGCCTCCCCTCCCTCTGACAGATAGTCAGACGTCTCCCTGTACTACCTGTCAAATTTGAAACCAGCGTGGCCCTGTAGGGCTCTGCCCACACGGCTGCATCATTCATTCACGGACTTCTGTGAATGAATGAACTGCAAGTACCGACAACCTTTGCAGCTGTCAGTTTTGTCGTTTTCAATGAACTACCACGGTGCTGTGGAATGCCGTGATGGTTCATTGATTCTTCCTGTTAGAATATCTGCTTGCTCATACATTGTCAGATCTGCAGGGGACCTGCATGGCATCAGCGATCTACTGATTGCTGGTGCAATGTTTTCCATGCTCCTGTAGATAAAAATAATGCAAAAAGATTGCATTTATTATTTTTGCCTAAAAGGTGAACTTCTCTTTTAAGCCCTTTTATGACTGCTGTTGATATCTGCTATAGTCCATCTCATTCTGTTATACTGTAAAGGAGCCTTTGGAATTCCGTGTTTTGGAACTTTCCATTGCCACTGTGTTTTTCCAAAGGCTTTTCTGAGTGCTGCAGTTACTGATTTCACATGTGGTGCCACCTGCTGGGACATACAAGCTTGTGGAAGACCCAGTGCCCAGCGCTACCAAAACTATTAAGCAGGGTGACCCTATAAAGTTTTACATTGATTCTTTGTGGCCTAAAGAGGGCTGCACATGGTTGGAGACAACAGTGAGTGCCCTCTGATGTATCTATTAGCTAGGATGCAAGGTTCTTTCCTCAACTATGGGTTTTTGAGGGTCTGGCTGTTAAGCCAGCCATAGATGGTTTGAATGTCAGCCAGTTCAGCAGGGAATGGCTGAGATTTCAAACGTCTATGTGCAGGCCGATTGTACCCAATTCGTTTGTTGTATGACTTGGGTACTTCCAGCGGGTCAGATTTTTCAAGCGATTATTGCCAGTGGCTATAGCTACTAGCAATAATTTCTGTGTTCTTCTGGCAGGACACAATATCACAATAGCTCCACGGGAAGGATTCCCCAATCAGCACTGAATATGTTGATGGGGTAATTGAGCAATTTTCTGGTTGTAGAAAAGAGAATTGCATAGTCTATGGTCTGCCTATTGAGCGGACTGGAGATGCTTGGCTGCTAGTGCAAATACTTACCGTAAGTTACTATTATTTTTTTTTTTCTTTTTTTTTTAAATTAGCTCTTAAAAGCCACCCCCGCCGTGTTGAGAAAGATGGAAATGGGGACCGCCCTTGCATCAATGGGGACCGAGCAGTCAGGAGGAGCTGCAGGTCCAAAAGTACCAGATTTGAAACGTTAAACCAGAGCCTGCTGTTTGATCAGCTTGTAAACAGGTAAGTGTGACAGCTTTCTGGTGGTGAACGAGCAAGTGCGACTGCCCCCTAGCTATGAAATTACTTCTGCTCACTTGTGCTGCGTAGAGGATTATGACTGTTCTGATAAATTGTGTTATTCCAGGTTTCCTGTGACCATTCACTCATGAGCCAAGCATTCTGTGATCAGGTTGTCATAAAAACAATACCAAACTAGCCATCTGTTCTAGAATTAGCTGTAGGTTACACAGCATTACATATTTAGGCTGGTTTATTTAAATACCTAATCATGCGCAACTGAAATTTAAAATAGTATTTTGGCTGGCATATAGATTTGTATTTAAAGTGGGTGTAAAGCCATAATTTGTTTTCTTAAAATAATAAACATGATTATCTGCTGTCTGCAGTGGTATAGTGGGAGAGGCCCCTTACCTTCTCTTTTGGGGTCCCCCGCAGGGCATCCACTCTCCTGCCCTTGTTGGTGACCTGGAATCGACATTGAAAACTTCAATTCCAGTTCCCTGTCAGTGTCCCTGGCCATCAAGGCTGTGAAAAAAAAATCTAATGCCAACCTCCTCCACTCCTCCTACCACTCCATCCCCCACAGCTATCTCCTCCTGTGCCACCATCCCCTCCCTCCTAGATTGTAAGCTCGAAAAAGCAGGGCCCTCAATCCCCTCATGTTTTGCATTGTATCGGTATTGTTCTGTCACATGTTCTGTCCCCCTTTGTAATGTACAGCGCTGAGCGAACTATTGGCGCTTTATAAATACTGTATAATAATAATAATAATGCAGTGTGATCTGTACTGCATTAGTTTCAGTGGAGCACAGGAAAGACATCCATGAACTTCGACTCTGGATGTCTCATTTAAGAGAACCTGTCACCAAAAAAAATCATCACATGGGGGACTTTGTCCTTTTTTGTGATGGGGAAAAAAAGATTAGGTAAACTTTTTTTTTTTTTTTTTTCTTTTTTCTTAATTGTAAAAAATAAGTTACACCCCAGCACATAACATCCCCTCCGAAGATTTTTGAGTCCCCCAACCCCTATGTATACGCACGTAAGAACATAAACACACGTGTCAGGAGGCGGCGATGCATGAAAACATCGATTGCGATACACATGTAAATATCCGTACACACGGGCTGAATATTGGCCGAAATCAGCTGGTGCAGTAGATAACGGCTGACATTCAGCCGTATGTACAGGTCCTTGTTTGGCAGAAGCCGATCTCATGACCAGCTTCTGTCAGATGAGCATCGAAACACTATCCACGCGTTCAGCCAATGACTGCAAGCAGTGACCGGTGTGTTCTGGCTGAGGGGGAGGAGTCCCCATGTCAGAATACAATAGCGCAGTGGGTGGGGAGGTCGCTGCACTAGCATTTCATAGCTAGCACAGTGACCTCCTCTCAAGCTCCTCCAATTTTTTTTTTTTTTTGGCCCGCTGGGTTGTACGAAAAAAAAATAACTAAGTGTGTGTACCAGGCATTACACATTGCTGCGCATGCCAGGGTGAGAGCAATATTTCTAACACCAAACCTCCTCTGTAACGCTAAACTGATGACCTATACAGAGCTTTTAAAGCATTGCCTATGGAAAATATAGGGTATTGAAGTTTGTTGCCATTTCACGGGCGCATGCAAATTTAAGGTTTGACTTGTTTGGTATCGATTTACTTGTAGCAATAAATTACCCAATTTTTGGTAGGATATAAAAGATGAGGTTGCATTTGTGTGCCTCAAAATTAGCTTTAGTGTATTGTTTACTGAAATTTTGCATTTCCTAAACCTTTGCGGTAATATCGTATGATATAAAAAATTGGAACTATCACGCTTTTGTTTTTTATGGGGCGTTTGCTTTCAGAAAATATGTAATGTTTTGAGGGGTTTGTGCAATCTTTAGGCCAAAAATGATTTTTTTTTAAAACGTGTGAAAAAAAATAAAAATAAAAAAACTGCTGTGGCAGCGATAAGGGTTAACGGATATGCAGCTTCAATTTCTTTTCAAACATTAGCTTTGCAAGTTGAACAACCTCTACTCCTTTAGTAGTGTTTGATGTTCAGGGAATGCCATTTTGTTTTTATTGGTGACCATTAAAAAGTGAAATTTGCCATGCATAGACAGTATGACTCTGCGGAGCAGCAGTGTTGATATATTTTTAAAGGAGAACTACAGCCAAAGCGCTTTTGGTTGTACTTTTCCTGTGGATCACAGGAATGCAGTTTGTTCTGCACTCCTGTGACTCATTTCCAGCTGACAGCGGGCTGAAGCCTCTTGTCTGATGACGTCACTCAGCCAGTCCAGGCTGACTTTAAAGTCGGGATCCACCCCAGAGTCTGGAGCGGTACCTGGCTTAACCTCTCAGCAATCATACCCTCTGCAATCGTCCCCTGCACATACCACCCATCATACCCATTGGTGGAATTTAATATCTGCCTTCACTACAGAATTGTACACCCTTTATTTCTGTTTTTTATAGACACTTCTGTTTATAAAACACTTCAGTTTCCAACTTTGCCACATTCTGGAATGTGGATACATTTTGATATACTTTGAAAACAGACCTGAAAACCACAGTCTTCGAAAAAAATAAAAATCATCAAATGTGTCTACCTGCATCTCCAGGTTTCTTCTGGTTGCTGGTCTCCAAACATGGTTGCAATTTGACTGTTTTATGGGGGCCTCTGTCAAAGGGCATACTAATCTGTGCTCAGGTAGAGTTACTAATTGGCTGGCTCTGCCTGTTGCTATTTGGCAAAGAGCAGGTGATCCTCTGCTGCAGGGGGGTTAGGGGTTCAGCTGCCAGAGACACCTTGGAGCTGCTTAAAGGGAAGTATTAAAGTTCAGTTCCAAACTCTGTGTGGGCTTACATAGGATACAATGCATAATTATATGCATATGCTAGCGACATACTTTAAATCTTTAAGTTCTTATTTTTCTTACACTTTTAGAGTTATTTACATTATTCTACCAATCAACTTGCGGTTAGTAGATTAAAGAGTTGTGTATGGTAATTTTTTGCCACCGATAGATTTTCATGCGTTACATCAGACTGAATGTTACTACTTGTTTGTAGCACTGCAGAGGCTGTCCTCCAAGAAATGGACAACATCAACATCCGGAGGAGCAGTAAATCCAGAGAGGTGGAGCGGCTGCGTATGTGGACAGACACGGAATTTGTAAGTCGATAATTTGCCTAAATCATTTTTAGCAATACTTAGGCCTTATGTGGAGAGTGCATGAATCTTTAGGCCTAAGTATGGGATGGTTCACAAATCCATAGGCTTCCCAGAGGTGGGGAGCCAGGAATTTGTAAGCTTCCTATTGGGGGATAGGGGGTGGTGCCAAATACTTGGAATTTCTCTGGGGGGGGGGTTCATTGCTCTTGAGTCTTCCATTAGAAGAGTGCTGGAATCCATATGCCTTCTCTTAGGGGGTGCAGAATAGTGAGCATAATAAGAGATTAATGCTGTCATCTGCTTCACTAGGAGGGCAATGTTTTTGACCATTTGATACATGTCTTGGTGAGCATAGTACAACATTTTTCAAAGAAGTGTTCATTTTGAAAATAATGCCGACCTAGGTAGATGCAGCATTGATCCAATGCTGCATCTGTCCCCTGCACCAAGCAACCTGAGCAATCAAAGATCACTGATCGCTCAGTTCTCGGTCTTCAGTCAGCAGAGAGCTGGTGATTGTCAGTCACTGGCTGCCTGCTCTGCCCCTCCAACATTCACTGGAGCATCGGGTTGTGGAGGGGGCTGCAGCGGTTGGCTTAGGCTCTCAACAGCGTGCTGAGAGGCTGAGCCAGCTGCTGGTCAGGTATCTGGGTGGATACCGAGATTAAAGTCCTGGATGCCTTTTAGAGTCTGGACCAGTTGAGTGAAGTCAGCTGGCTTTAGCCTGCTGTTAGCTGAATATGGGTGATGGGAGTTGTTGAAAGGAAACATTGTTATATCAGACATAAGGAGTGCAGAACTAAGTGCACTTCTGTAACCTACAGGAGAAGTAGGGGCCATAATAGCTTTGGCCCTACTTCTTTAACCAAGGCAGGCTATACCTATGCTTGATTTCCCCATCAACACAGTCATTGTTAATGGGGGAATCCCTCCCACAGAGATATTGTGTCCTGATGGTGGGGAGCGCATGGAGCTTTCCCCACCGGCAGAATACAACAATCACTGCTAGCGGCTAAAGCCACCAGCAGTGATTGGACGAAAAAAAACCCACAGGCTCACCAGCCTGCGTAATTTTGATCTGTCTGACCATCTCAAGAATCTGAGAATGTGTTAAGGCAACATGAATTAGCAGTTTATGCAAAACCATAGTGTGCATGATCTTTTTGCCCCATGGAAAAGTGAAGCAGTGTTTTTTAATAAATATGGACATATATGTTGGTCATCCGGCATCTCTTTGTGGTGTTCATAGATTTGCTGGGTATCTACAAGCTTTATTAAAGTCTTATTTACTAACCTGCAGATTACTTTTTAATGACCAAGAATTATCTGTTTATGGATCAAATGGACGGGACAAGAAAGTGTAGTGGATGACCATATTTGCATTTAGATCTTTGTTGTCCCCTTAACTATCGGTAGTTGGCAGTAACTGTGAATATTCTGGGCAGTCTGCAGCAGCTTTATGCTCTATGGGGATTGCAGCTTATCATTTGGTGTTTGGATGCCATTTTAACCACTTGGCAACCGTGCTATAGCTGAATGACGGCTACAGCGCTGTTGTCCAGTTCATATATGACGTCCTCCCAGAACGTGCCCTCCCGCGAGCCCCCAGCAGTACGCACCCGGTGATCTCCATGATCGCTGTGTCCTTCGGACACAGTTGATCACGTGAAGTGGTAAAAGGCCTTTTACCACGTGGTCAGCTGTGTCCAATGACATATCAGATCACCGGGTAAACGCAGTTGCCGGTTATCTGCTGCATTTAAGTACTGCCGATAACAGACAATTGTCAGAAAACAGATCGGCAGTGATAAATAGAGTGGGACTCAGCGAGCACTTAACCTCCATAGCCGTATGATTATGTCAGTATTTTTGTGCTCAAAGCAGTACATTTTTTTGCTTGGAAATGTGTCGTTTTTTTATTGTAGGCCTGTAATAATATAGGAATAACTCACTGAAATCTGTCCGAACAAGAGTCTAGTAAACATCCCGGGTATGTTAAAATTTGAAACACGAAATCATAAATTATAATTTAATAAATAATATAAGAATAAATTTAATTCAATAATATAATCAAACCAAAAACACTGAAATTTGAAATATAGCGCCAAGTTCGCACATCACTGATCTTAGTCGCAAAATTGTTTTCAGTGTCTGATGACAAATTTCCCCCACGAATCATTATCACTCAATTCTGCAAGTGGTTCTAATTTACTATCGCTGTTCTCTAGCTGGTCTAAAACCTATTTTGACCTAAAGGGACGCTTTTTGGAAGCCATGGACGTTTCTCAGTTTCCAGGCAGAAAGAACAGAAAAAATGCAGGCAGGGCACAGGACAAAGCACTAGGGATAAAATGTATGTGAAATGGTTTGATACAGTAATGTTTTACTATGTGATTTATTTAGTGTATTAGTGAATGTCACTTTTTAAAATTTTTAAATTTCCCACTGGTTACGTCCTGACGTCACAGAGAACGGAACCCGGAAGACGGATGCCGGAATCGGCCGGAGGAGATGTCAGAGGACGCTGCAGGGGGGACATCGCGGGAGCGAAGGACAAGGTAAGTGATCAAGGGATCCCAGAACAACACTGCAAGATATTCCCGAGTGTACCTCGGGGTTACCGCTTGTGGTGCTGAAACTTTACCCCGAGTTACACTCAGGAATACCACCAGGGAGGTTAATGATGGAAGCAGCTGGTACACTATAAAGGAAACCATATACTTTCTAAAATAACTAGTAAAATTGTAAAAGTGCAGCATCAGTGCTGCCCAAGCAGTGCCGGCAGTCTGTACTGCCAATCGGTGCTGCCCATCAGTGTAGCCTTATCAATGCACATCAGTAAAGGAGAAAAATTACCTGTTTGCAAAATTTTATAATAGGAACAAAGAAAAACTTTTTTTTTTTTGTTTATAGCTCAAAAATTAAAACACCCAGTGGCAATTAAATACCACCAAAAGAAAGCTCTGTTTTGTGTGAAAAAAAGGATAAAAATGTCATGGGTACAGTGTTGCATGACCGCGCAATTGTCATTTAAAGTGCGACAGCGCTGAAAGCTGAAAATTGGCCTTTGCAGGAAGGGGGTATAAGTGCCCGGTAGGCAAGTGGCTAAAATGGCTTTTAGAAGAACCACTTTGTATTTCTGGAACAATTTTTAATCAAATACAGATTTAGGTTGTTTTTTTGTTTTTTTTTTTTTTTTTTTTTTTTTTTTTTTTTTTTAGCCCCATGCTGTTTTAGATTCCTATCATCTGCCCTGACCATGGGGAAGTGCACAGACGCCAGTAAGTGTGGCTCCTGTGAAGATGGGGTTAATTCAATATGTTCACTTTTAGGCCCGTTCACACTTAACAAGTATGGACGGCATTTGTGTGTTTCTGCCCATGATTCCAAATTGTGGCAAGACATGCGTTTGGGTGCCATTCATCCTTAATGCGGTGCAATTTTGTCACAGGACAAAACACGTAAGAATGGCAGCAAAATGCACGTGTAAAAACGTGCCCGTCTCAGGGCCAAAATTGGGTCTCCGATCTTCTTTGCTATGACAAACGCGCATAGAGCAGTCCATTCAAATACGGGTTCCCAGTATGTGAAATGTGAATGCTGCGCATATTTCTGTTTTATCATTTGCAGAAGAAGTGGTGATACCTGGATGTGTGAAGAGCTGCTTAAATGCCAGTAAAATGAACACTTATCAGATATTCATTTCAGACAGCAGTAACTTATGAATTGAAATTTTTTTAAATCCACACTGACTTTACTTTTCAGAGATGTCTGAAAGGAAAACGTCATAGCAGGGAATTGGGTTCTTCCCTTCTGTATTTTGTTTGAAAAAAACAAAACACAATAGTAACATTTTGTATTCAGGCTTACTTATGGGGTGAGTCAGACACTTAATAGATGCCATCCAGATTAATTGATTAATGTTTTTTCTGCAGGAGAACATGGACATGTATTCCCGTGTTAAGAGGAGGAGGAAAAGTCTGCGTAGAAGCAGTTATCCAATCAAAACTCGGCATGAGGAATCCTCTGAAGGAGAAGAGGAGGAGGAGGAGGAGGAGGTTTCTGAGGGTGAGTTTATTATGAGGTTGGTTTTATTGCTCCTTGGAAAGTCTTGTGGACAAGCCCTTCATTAGCATTTTTTCCTAAAGTAGAACAAACTTTTTATTTTGGATTGTGTAAGGGAAGGGTATAACCTCTCTGTTATTTTTCCACCTGAGTCTTGTTGGGGAGATTTCCCTTCTCTTCTTGTCCCTTTAGCCAAAACGGTAAGAGCAAATCTGTCTGCAGTCTGGGAAATACGTAGTTGTCATCAGCAGTAGTGTCCCCATTGAAAGACTTCTTCTATTTCTTGTCTGGCGACAGCCCAACGTTTGGGATTTTCTTTCACTTTTATTGATGACCATAAACAGAACAGATACTGATGGTAACAGAAGGAAATGACCGCAATAAAAACTAGACAGGTGTTCCTTGCAATCCCTTTCCATTGTATCCAAAGCCAAAAAGAAATAAAAGTTTAGACTTTTCATATACTTTCATTTTGGCACTGTGTTTTCACAGTTACTCCCTGTTAAGATCCAGTTTTCCTTCTTGATGGCAGCATTATGGATCGAGTTGCCTCCTAGGAAAGTGTCGAGAGTGTAGCACACTGGCTGGTGGAAAGGGAGGTTTTTCTGCCTAGGACCAAAGATAGGAATTTACATTTTGTGGTGATCATATATAGTTCCCCCACCATCCAAAGTAGACCTAATTTCTCTTGGGGCGTGTGTTCTCATTTCGGTTTACTATTCGTTGATATTGCAGAATCCCAGGAAGAAGGTGAAGACTGTGATGAAGAAGCGGAGGTGGAGGGGGAGGAAGGAGAGGAGAATGATCGACCATATAACCTCAGGCAGAGGAAAACGGTGGAAAGGTATCAGGCACCTCCTATTGGTAGGTAATGCATCTAGTGTTTTAAGAAATCTTGAGGATACATGAAAAGCACATACAATTGATGAACTTTATATGTGTAATTGTGAATTTGATAGAATTCTGTGGAATGGCTGTACAATTTAGGGTTCATAATGGATGAGTTATTACTGCACTTCAAGCACCTGTATATTTACAGTAGATTCTGTCATCTGATACCCATGGTTTCCTTTATTAGCATTTTTTTTTAAATTTACTCTTGATGGCATCTAAATAGGTGTTTTTTTTTTTTTTTTTTTTTTTTTTCTCCAGCCCAGAAAAGATTGTTTTGGAGGAAAACAAATTGTATAGATGCCAACCTAACCATCTGTTAAATGTTGTGTTACAGTTAATGTAGCTGCAAATTAAATGAATAAACACATATGCCAATAAAGCAAGTAATCGAATATAGCATTATAGAAAATAAACTGTAGTGATGTGATTTTGTAAACATGAAATGGCATGTATTTTATTTTTTCTAATTTGTTAACATGTTTTGGTTTTGTTTAGAGCCAGCACATCAAAAAAAGCGACAAAGCACTTTGTTTGATACACACAGATCTCCTGCAAGAAGAAGCCATATTCGGTATGTTTACATCTTGCAGTGGGAAAAGTAAAAAGCCTAAGGGCCTGTTTATTTGTGCTTCAATAACCTGTGTTAATGCAGAAGTTATTCTGCATTTTAAAAGCCTCTTAACCTCCCTTCCATATCTGTCATACATATTACAATGGAAACACAGTGCTAGTCACACAGGAGCGGTTGTATTATGTTAAAAATTCAGCAGCATGTCGCTTTCATGAGGCATTGATGCTTGTCAGACACTTCCACTTATTTCAATGGCAGTGCTTGATAACTGCACCTAAACAACGCGTATAGCATTTTTGGTGTGGTAATGAAGCATTTATAAAGTGTTAACTGGGCATTGGGGGAGAGGAATTTGAGTTTTCTCTATCCCAGAATGCATTGGAAAATGTTAGAGAACTAGGGCTGAGCAGCTCCAGTCACTTCCTGTTTGTACAGAATATTATTATTGATATTATACAGGATTTATATAGCGCCAACAGTTTGCTCAGCACTTTACAATATAAAGGGAGACAATACAGCAACAATACAGTTCAATACAAGAGGGTTAGGAGGGCCCTGCTCCTTGGAGCTTACAATCTAGGAGGGAGGAGCTAGTGGTACAAAAGGTAATAACTGTGGGGGATGGACTGGCAGGAGGAATAGAAGATTCTGTTATTAGCTGAGGGCAGGATAGGCTTCCCTGAAAAGAGAGGTTTTCAGAGATTGCCTAAAAGTGAGCAGAGTAGGCGATAGTCTGATAGATTGGGGTAGAGCATTCCAGAGGATGGGGGAGGCTCTGGAGAAGTCCTGGATATGAGCATGGAAGGAGGAGACAAGGGAGCTAGAGAGCAGGAGGTCGTGGGAGGAGTGGAGGGGACAGTTTGGATGATGGCAAAGGAGGGTAATGGCAGAGTTATAAATGGCTTTATATGTTATTAATGTTTTGAGTAATGGGAAGCCAGTGAAGGGATTGGCAAAGTGGCATATACGGACGGTTAGTAAGGTGCATTCTGGCAGCAGCATTCATGATAAACTGAAGAGGGGATAGCCTGTGATGAGGTAGGCTAATGAGGGAGTTACAATAGTCAAGGCGAGAGATAACCAGGGAGTGAATAAGTTGCTTAGTGGTTTCCAGGTTAGGAACGGGCGTACCTTGGAGATGTTGCGGAGGTGAAGTCTACAAGATTTGGACAGTGATAGGATTTGGGGCTGAAAGGACAGATGGGAGTCTAGGATTACACCTACTACCCTGGCCTGAGGGGAGGGACTGATGGTTGTATTATTGATCTTGATGGAGAAGTCAGGGGAGGGGGCACGGGCTGGAGGGAATAGTATGAGCTCAGTTTTGGAAAGATTGAGTTTGAGGAAGTGGAGTGACATCCATGCTGATGTCACTTAGTAGGTTAGTAATGTGAGAGGAGACTGAAGGGGTGAGGTGAGGAGTAGAAAGATAGATTTGTGTGTCAACATAGAGATGGTACTTAAATCCATGGGAGTTTATCAAGTGACTAAGGGAGGAGGTGTAGATGGAGAAGAGGTCCAAGGACAGAACCTTGAGGGACCCCTACAGAGAGAGGGAGTGAAGAGAAGGAGGCAGCGTTATCGGTAACACTGAAGGAGCGCTGCGATAGGTAGGAGGAGAACCAGGAGAGAGCAGAGTCTTGGAGGCCAAGAGTGGTCAAGTAGTAAGAGTATGGAGTAGTGGCCATTAGTTTTAGCAGTTAGTAAATAGCAGTTAGCAGAATAGCCATGTATTAACACTATTTGCTTTTGTGTGCAGGCATGGCGTCCAGCTAGCCATCAATACTAATATTGCCAGGTAGGAGCAAAGACATTTATTGCCAGTGACAAAGTTTCAGTTTAGCCTAACCAAGCCAAGTGTCAAACAGATCAAAGTATGAATCCATCTTGCAGAGAATTCACAGAAATGACTGCTATCACACCACAACCTAGTCAAGCCTCAATGTAGATCATTATCTCTACATCACTTCTTTTTTAAGCACTTTCATGGGCGTTTTTCAAGCATTCTTGAAGGTTTTCTAACACTTCATATACACAATGAAAACGCATCATGAACACATCATAAATGCTATAGTTGCATTAAAAAGCATTGCTTCATTCTTCATAATTAACACACGTGTTGACAAGCCCTAAAAGAGGGATCTTCAACAAAGAGCTTAACTGTCCCAGGTGTATACAGTCCTTTACAGCAGGGCTTAAAATTTCAAGTCCTGAGCTACTAGCCAGGCCTTAAGATTTACTCGCCACCAATAAACACACACAGACACACCTGTACACACACACAGACATGTACATACACACACACACACACACACACACACACACACACACACACACACACACACAAAACATGTACACACATGCACAGAAACACATGTACACATACACAGACATGTGCATACACACACAGAAACATGTACACACGTACACACACCCACATACAGACACATGTATGCGCACAGGCACGTGTACGTACCCACGCACAGGCACGTGTACGTACCCACGCACAGGCACGTGTACGTACCCACGCACAGGCACGTGTACGTACCCACGCACAGGCACGTGTACGTACCCACGCACAGGCACGTGTACGTACCCACGCACAGGCACGTGTACGTACCCACGCACAGGCACGTGTACGTACCCACGCACAGGCACGTGTACGTACCCACGCACAGGCACGTGTACGTACCCACGCACAGGCACGTGTACGTACCCACGCACAGGCACGTGTACGTACCCACGCACAGGCACGTGTACGTACCCACGCACAGGCACGTGTACGTACCCACGCACAGGCACGTGTACGTACCCACGCACAGGCACGTGTACGTACCCACGCACAGGCACGTGTACGTACCCACGCACAGAGACAGCCCTATAAAAATTTGCAGTACTTCGTTGTTCACTCACAGAGCCAGGTACTGCACTCTAGGGGGAGGCAGAGAGCACAGCACACACTCCTTGCTTTGCTTTCACTGCGCGCAGCTATTGAGCAGTCTGATGGCTCCCAGTGCCAATGACAGATCAGGCCTGAGCTCCGAGCCTGCTCAGCAAGACGGCCCTGGGGGACACACTCGCCCCCACCGTAATTTCCACTCACCATTGGCGAGTGGAAATTTCAAGGCCTACTTTACAGGAAAGCTGAGGGACATGGAATGTCCAGACCAAGCTCTGATATCAACAGAGACAGACTGGCCCTGTTTATTGCTGCAAATATACAGTAATACCTCGGTTTAAGAATTTAATTCGTTCTGCAGGACTTTTCTTATAGCGAAAAATTCTTAAACCAAAACGCCGTTTCCCATAGGAATGCATTGAAAACCAATTTATCTGTTCCGGAGATCAGAAAAAAGTAAACACTAATAAAATACCGCATGAGTCATTTTATCAAGTCATGCAGCATTTTAGTAGTGACAACCATGTGTTAATATTTCAGCTGTCAGCAGGGTTCCCCACTGACAGCTGAATGTAAAAGAATTGCCGGCAATTATAAAAAATGATTTAAAAAACTGCTTGGGGTCCCCCTTCCCATCCATACCAAGCCCTTCATGTCTGGTATGAATTTTGAGGGGAACTCCCATGCCAAAATTTAAAACAAAATGGCGTGGGGGTCCTCCCCAAAATCCGTACCACACCCTTTTCAGAGCATGCAGATTGGCAGGTCAGGGGGGGGGGGGCAAACAATGTTTCTTTTTTGTTTCTTAAAAGAAACAACAAAGTGACAGCTAATTCTGTGAGCTATAGTGAAGAAAAAAAAAAGAGCCAGCAATTACATTTAAAAATCAGCACTGACATACACTTCGTATTGCGAAAAAAATTCATACAAAGTTTGTAAACCGATGCATTATTTTCAGTGGATTTTCATTTGTAAACCGAAAATTACTTTAACGAGGCTTTCTTAAACCGAGGTTTTACTGTATATGGCAACAACTGCTTTAACCATTTATTATGATCTCAGAGCTGGGCTCAGACTTCACTCAACTAAAAGAACTTGTGATGGTTATTGTAAATGTGGCCATTGCTAATCTGGTTAGTTTATAAAGCTTGCTCCAGTGATGTCCTCTTATCTCAGCTTTACAGACTAGAGAATGATAAGCCTAGAATAAATATACAGTATGGTAATTCAGATATAAGTGGCTGCACTTGTGTTCTTGGTAGTTGACTTACAGGGTCAGTGTGAGAATCCTGGAGCCTGCACTTCAGCAGTGGAGCTACAGCGTGTGGTTGGGTCCATTGTAGAACAGTACTAAGCGAATGCTGACAATGTTGTGTGAAAAAAGCTGTAAATGTTTAGATAGGCTTTAGATAGTACAGCATTTACTTAACAACTAGCCTTAAAAAGGGCTTTCAAATAAGCTCCTGCTGAACTTTGTAGCTGAATACATTTTTGAAAAATGGATTTTCAAGGGCACTGAAGTTACAGCTCCTTTATGTCACAAATGTACAGTTGAAACACTCGCCTATTTGCATTTCACTCCCTAGCTGGTGGGAATGGGAAGAGGGTGACACCTTGCTCATCCAGCAAGGTGTCACCCTCAGTTGATGTGACACATGCAAGCAGATTATTTTGCTGCCCTGCTTTGTCATGTGTTGTGGCCAAGTTGTCACCAGCAACTAGTCTGACAATGCCCTTATTTCCTTTAGGAGCCTAACATCTTAATACTGTAAACAAACGGGTGCAGTAAGCTTTTCAGGAGCCAGTGAAACATATTTTTTTTTTTTTTTTTTTTTTTAACATGCAGTTTTTCATGAATGCATTAGTCAGAACCACCAAGGTTAGGGACATGTTCACTTTAACAAGCCCATTTAAAGTGGAACTAAACTATTAAAACACTGAAGGCAGCTCTTTATTGCAGTAGAGACATGCAGTGTCCTTTCTGCAATTACAATCGCATGTCTGCTTGCAGTCTTCTATTGAATGGACACTGAACTGTGGATTTCCGCCACACTCCAGCTGTGCCAGAATCATTAACTCTCGTGTGCATGCATGGGATGACCCCATTCCACCACTGGCCAATCAAGAGGCTGAAAACCCAACACCGGAAGGAGATGACGGATGTAACTGCTACATCACTGGAAGCTGGAGGGGATACATTTCTTGGTGTTTAGTTCCACTTTAAAAAAAATAAAGTTCTTGATTTCTAAAACGTTTTTTTTTTTTCCCCGTTTGCATACTTCTGAGCTCTTGTTTGGTCCAGAAGCCTTTTTTACTGGGTGCCTTACATTTTTTTTTTATTACTCTGGCATCAATTGTAATGCAGATTTGCTGCAGAACAGAACAAAACCCTGACTATTTTCTTAATTTCTCAGTATGGTTCTCCCAGAAGCCTCTAGTATTGAAAAGATTTGTCTAGACGGCTTAATTCCGCTCTTCTAAAGCATGCAATTTCCTCAGTTTGCTCCCATTCGTAATATATTTTTGTAGCCCAAATGATGGATTATTAAAGTGCAGAAAGCGCCTCAGGCATTAATACATTTTCAAGAACTCTGAGATTATTGCTTTATTTACTTCTCTGTAAGCAAGATTACTAAAGAGTATGCAGTAGATTGTCTGCTCTGATCTCTTCCATGGTTCCCCAATAATAATTTAAGACTCGCATCTTGGGAAAAAAGGATCACAGGGTCTATATTCGAAGCAGAACACTAGTTTTCAAATGTGTAACTTGCTGCAGGCACATATATTGGGTTGATAAATTATAGGGCAGGTCCTCTTCATCTTTTTGCTGGTTATACACAGCGTGGTTATGCCTTTGAGCTCTAAAACTCAGATGTGGTGTACTGCTTTGCACTGTTCATTTGCATGGTGCTGATGTCTTTAGGTGCTGCAGTCAGTTTAGGTCTAGGATGTGGTCAGAATGAATGGCCTGTAGTAGTCAAGTTACTATTTTGTATTTTAACATTAAGAGGAAAATATTGAAAGCCATACTGATTATGTTGAGAAAACTCAAATGCATAGACAACACTTACACTCTGTGTAGACACTGTGTTAAGCTGGCCATAAGTGTATGGAAATTTGGATTTCAAGTTGTGTATGGGCACTGAGGTTTTACAGAAGTTTTTCTACTGATGGGATTCTGTACGACTGCCTAGTTGGATTTTCCCTGCTTGATTGGTGCCATAGGCCAGCCTTTCTCTGCCAGCCGGGGTACCGCTGCACCCTGCTGTGCTGTGAAGAGTCCCCAGGGGTGCCGGGGCAAGAGTATAGAAACTCTACTTCCGGTTCAATCGCCACAGTGACAAGTGGAGAGATACAGAGCTCCGAGCTCCATGCTTGAAGACCTGCATGTAAAATCCCAGGGAAGTGAATCTCTGCTCCGCGGGCGGGGGGCTTGCTGCCATACCAGTGGCTGGGTCAGAGTCAGAGTAGTTTGCTAGCTATTGCACCCTTTCTGCCCCTCCTCTCTTCTATATACAAGCCAGCAGTACTGTTTACAATTTACAGGGGGGCACAGTTCTGGCTTTTAGCTGTCTGTAGCTGTCTTTTGGCTATAGTGCGATCAGGAACTGGTTAATTGAATACAATCTGGTTAACTGTATATGGATACATGTGAATGCTGCTTCACACTGCCTTCTTCTGTTGGTGATCCCATTGGATTTTTCCGCTTTACATATAAACATAAATAATGCAGACTTCAGTAGTTAGGGCACAATTCAGAGGTTTACTAAGGCTGGGTCATACATGATTTATTTTCCTTCATCCAACACACTGGTTGAACAAAAGAAAATGAATCAATTCCCCCATTAATACATTCAAAGTGGATTGGGGAATACCCTCCTGTGGAGCTATTGTATTCTGACAGCGGGGAGACTTCCCCTGCCAGCTGAACTTGCACATGAGCACCATCAGCTGTAGCTGGCAGCACTGATCATGCAAAATTTTTTCCAACAGGCTGGTTGTACATAAGTCAATCAAGATATCAACTTGTGTACAACCAGCCTGCCCACATATGGACAAAATTTATCTGGTCCCTGCTTAACCAGCCAAATGTCGATCCATCTATGGACACATCTAAAGCTGACTGTAGATAATGCGATTTTTCTTTCCTGCAACCATAGGTTTTCAGTGCTGATGGGGAATCCCTCCCATGGAGCCATTGTGTTCTCCCATCAGGATGCGCAGGGGAAGGGGGGCAAAGGGGGTAGCTGTCCCTCCCTGTAGAACACCGTGGTTACTGCTAGTGGCTATAGTCCCTGGCAATCACATGAAAAATCCAACAGACTGGTTGTACCCAATTCATACAATTAATTTGGGTACAATCAGCCTGCCCTGCTCAAACGGCTGAACTTTGAGCCATCTATGGCCAGCTTAAGGCACAGTTATGTAGTTGATAAAGCACAGTTCAGTAGTTGGTAATGCACAGTGAGTAGTTTAAAAGGCAGGTTTATCTGCCTTACAATCTACTGATCTCCATTACAAATGACGGAACTCTGCATACAACCTACAGATGATGGCCTCACAAACTACATTTTTGGTCTCGCCCATTTTCCCACAAAAATGCTAATTCCTAATGGCACCTCCATGCGTCTAGCAAATGTGCTGCCATTCACACCTGCTAAAACTCATAGTACCACAGTACCATGCATTTTGCTGCAGCGGAATTTTACAAATGCAAGCTAGGATAGGAAAACTGTGACAAATGAGAACAGGCAGAAAGTGTGTCTCCAAGTGCAAATGAGTTTTCAAACTGGTGTGCCCCGAGATTGTGTACAATTCTAAAGGGTGCCTTGACTGAAAAAAGGTTGGAAAATACTGCCAAAGGCTATGGCCTGCAATGCTGATCAGTGTATTGTGACAGCGGGGAGTACCTCCCTGCTTTCAGAATGCAATAGCTCAGTGGGGAGGACTCCCCCATCCTCACAATCGAGTCAGGTTTTTTTTTTTTTCTTTTTTTTTCTTTTTTTTTTTTTTTTTTCTTTTGGTGCATTTTTAACCTGCTCAGATTTAAACCAGGTACACTATATTGCCAAAATTTTTGGGACTCCTGCCTTTACACATACATGATCTTTAATGGCATGCCAGTCTTAGTCTGTAGGGTTCAATATTGAGTTGGTTTAGGAGGTGTCTATGGGAATGTTTGACCATCCTTCCAGAAGCGCATTTGTCAGGTCTAACACTGATGTCTGACGAAAAGGCCTGGCTCACAGTCTCCACTCTAATTCATCCCAAAGGTGTTCTGTCAGGTTGAGGTCAGGACAGTGTGCAGGCCAGTCAAGTTCCTCCACCCCAAACTAACTCATGCATGTCTTTATGGACCTTGCTTTGTGTACTGGTGTACAGTCATATTGGAACAGGGAGGGACCACCCCAAACTGTCCCCACAAAGATGGGAGCATTAAATTATCCAAAATGTCTTGGTATGCTGACGCCTTAAGAGTTCCCTTCACTGGACCTAAGGGGCCAAGCCCAACCCCTGAAAGTTAACTCCACATCATAATCTCACCTCCACCAAACTTTACACTTGGCACAATGCAGTCAGGCAAGTACTGTTCTCCTGGCAACGGCCAAACCCAGACAGGCAGAGAAGCGTGATTCGTCACTCCAGAGAACATGTTTCCAGTGCTTTACACCACTGCATCCGATGCTTTGCATTGCACTTGGTGATGTAAGCCTTGGATGCAGTTGCTCGGCCATGGAAACCCATTCCATGAACCTCTCTACACACTGTTGTTGTGCTAATCTGAAGGCCACACGAAGTTTGGAGGTCTTTAGCTATTGACTCTGCAACAGTTGGCGACTTCTGCGTATACGCTGCAGCATGCACTGATACGGCACTTGTCATTTTACGTGGCCTACCACTTCATGGATGAGTTGCCATTGTTCCCATTTGCTTCCACTTTGTTATGCTACCACTAACGGATGACCATGGAATATTTAGTACCAAGAAAATTTCACGGATGGACTTACTGCACAGGTGGCAATCTATCATGGTACACACTTGAATTCACTGAGCTCCTGAGAGCGACCCATTCTTTCCAAAGGGAAAGGAAAGAGGGCACCCAGTAGGTTCTAAAATGGTGGATGACCAGGAGAGTGGAGGGACCCCAATTATCTTAAGTGCATTCCAGTTGTCTTCAGGTGAGAGTTCTGTGAGCACTGAGGTGGCACAATCTGCATGTTTTGCAGCACTTTAAGAGATGGTGTTGGTTTTATGAGTACGTGAGAAATCCTATGGAGTTGTGATGGAACTTGATGTAAAACTATATCCACGATTCACCATTCCAATTCATATTCACATGGACTTGTTTCTATGGACATTCTATTTTTTAAGATTTATGCATGTTTTATGTATATTCAACGTTTTCATATTTAATTGTTTAATGATTTGATTTTTATATTTTACATTAGCAATGCAGCATTAAGTTTATTTTATTTATTTGTGTCTATTTACTTTATTCCAATGTACATGTTAAAAGGTCTTTTTTTTTTCTCTGCAGAAGAAAGAAGCATGCAATTCACAGCAGCGATACCACTTCCTCATCGGATGAAGAGCGGTTTGAGAGGAGAGAAAGTCTAAGAGCATGGCCAAAGCCAGAAACAGGTATTTGCCCTATAAATGTAACAACCAATGTGTGTGAATAGGTGTCTGAATGTTCCATTGTTTTGGAACAATAGCTTTTCTTATTCCTAGCATTACCCACTCCTACCTGTGGCAGCCCTCAGAGCTTTTCCCATCAGAATAGAATAGTAGGGATCTAACACTTCTTTTCCACTCCATTCCTCCTTTCACATGTTCCTGTTGGACCTACAGAGTAGGCAATAGTTTAAACCCTTAAATAGTGAAGCGCTAAATAGAATTAAATGACATGAAAATAAATCCGTGCCAAAAAAGTGCTCAGTGATAATGCACACAATCCACATTAATAGCACTTCCCTCCTTGGGAAATTGAATTAGTGAAAAACCATTAGTGTTAATAATAAATTGTGGACTAACACACAGTGAGAGAGAAAAAAAAAAAAAATTTTTTTTAGATATATATTAAGTGAACTGACTGGACTCAAAATTGAAACTCCACAGACTAAGATAAGCAGTGAACAAACCAGTGACTATAAGCCACAATACATGAATGAACTAATTAACATTCATTAGTGCCATAAACAAATAAACAACGTATAAATCATTAGTGAAAAAAGTCCATGCATGTGAATCTGTGTTTCAAAAACCGTGTTCTCCACTCTTATGTGAAAAATAAATCCTCCAAACGGCAGCAATGCCTGCTCACCTCCCTACGTTGACCCACACAGGGACGAAGAGCTGTTATCACCTCATTGGTATATCCTCTTAGGTAAGCTCCTTATCCAGGTGCACTTTAAATGGCTCCTCACTGAATCTTCTCACTTGCATCTCCACTCCAGGGCACATAAGTGAATACAGAAAACCTGGGCTCGGGGCTGTCAGGCTCGGCTCACCATAGAGTGGCGCACTCTGTCAGTTTTTTTTTTTTTAATTTCTCAGTCCTTTTGGTGATATTTCACTAGAAAATCTCTACAAAATTAGAGAATATACTTCTTAAATAGTTTTTTTTTTTCAGTGGAATTTGGATTTTTGACTTTTCCTCACTCGGTCCTGAAAACAATAGATCAAGATAAATAGAGTGTTACACTTTAAGAAACTTGGAAAAAAAAATGTGCTTTAGATACCATTTATCAGTTAACACTTGGAGTCTGTTTCTCAACCAGAAGGCCTCATGCAACAAGGGTGTTTTTTTCTGCCGCGTTTAGGAGCATCAGGTTTTTTTTACTGCTTCCAAATGCCCCTTCCTGTTATTCTATGTGTCTATTCACACTATGGTTTTTAGAAACTTTTAGTGGCAGTAGAAAAAAGCCCAGAGCCAGTGCGTCCTGGAGCAGTGGTGTTAGGCAGAAATAACACTCAATGCGCTTAAACGCGTGTGAACGTGCGCGCTTAAATGCTAGGCGTGTTTAGCGCTTGAGTGTTTATTTCAATGGCCAGAATAAATTTAATCTGGTCAGTGAAATGAATTAATATCCCAAACACTTGACGCTGGTAAATGTGGTACACACTTTTACAAGTGTCAGGTGTGTTTTGGGCCAAAAAGCTGCTGCTAGCAGCAGCAGTAGTAAAACTGTCCTAAGCACAGTGACACTCTATGCTGAACTTTTTTTTTTTTTCTAATTTTCTCTGTAAATTAAGACCTTTTCTTTTATGTTCTATATGTTAGGTGTCTACCTATGAATCTTACAGCTGAAGATCTAGCTAGTGGTATCTTGCGAGAACGGGTCAAAGTTGGTGCTAGCCTGGCTGATGTAGATCCAATGAACTTGGATCGATCGGTAAGTATTGCACAGAAGTCATTGTCTCTAACCACCTGCACTCCGCAAGATTTTACCCCTTCATGACCAGGCCATTTTTTTACTATACGGCACTACGCTACTTTAACAATTGCACAGTCATGCAACGCTATACTCAAATCAAATTTATATACTTTTTCACAGAAATAGAGCTTTCTTTTGGTGGAATTTGATCACCACTGGATTTTTAATTTTTTATTATATGAACCAAAAAATACCAAAACATTTTTTTTAAATATTGTTTTACTATCTGCTATAAAATCTATACAATAAAAAATGTAAAAAAAATCTAATTTCTTCATAAATTTAGCTCAAAATATATTTCACTACAGGTCTTTCATAAAAAAAAGAAAATCCCAGTAAATGTACACTGCTCAATAAAATTAAAGGAACACTTTTAATCAAGAGTATAGCATCAAGTCATTTAAACCCCTGGGATATTGATCTGGCAAGTTAAGTAGCAGAGGAGGTTGCTAATCAGTTTCAGCTGCTTTGGTGTTAATGAATTAACAGGTGCACTAGATGCGCAACAATGAGATGGCCCCCAAAACATGTATGGTTTAACAGGTGGAGGTGCCATTTTTGTCTCCTATTCATCTTTTCTGACTGTTTTACACTAGTTTTGCATTTGGCTAGGGTCAGTGTCACTACTGGTAGCATGAGGCGATACCTGGACCCTACAGAGGTTGCACAGGTAGTCCAACTCCTCCAGGATGGCACATCAATACGTGCCATTGCCAGAAGGTTTGCTGTGTCTCCCAGCACAGTCTCACGAGCATGGAGGAGATTCCAGGAGACAGGCAGTTATTCTAGGAGAGCTGGACAGGGCCGTAGAAGGTCCTTAACCCATCAGCAGGACTGGTATCTGTTCCTACAAAATGACCTCCAGCAGGCCGCTGGTGTGAATGTCTCTGACCAAACAATCAGAAACAGACTTTCTGAGGGCCTGATGTTCTCTAGTGGGCCCTGTGCTCACTGCCTGGCAGCATAGAGCTCGATTGGCATTTGCCATTGAACACCCTAATTGGCGGGTCCACCACTGGCGCCCTGTGCTTTTCACAGATGAGAGCAGGATCACCCTGAGCACATGTGACAGATGTGAAAGGGTTTGGAGAAGCTGTGGAAAACGTTATGCTGCCTTTAACATCGTTCAGCATGACCGTTTTGGTGGTGGGTCAGTGATGGTCTGAGGAGGCATATCCATGGAAGGACGCACAGACCTCTACAAGCTAGACAATGGCACTCTGACTGCCATTAGGTATCGGGATGAAATCCTTGGACCCATTGTCAGACCCTACGCTGCTGCAGTGGGTCCTGGTGCACGACAATGCCTGGCCTCATATGGCGAGAGTATGCAGGCAGTTCCTGGAGGATGAAGGAATTGATACCATTGAATGGCCCCCACGCTCGCCTGACCTAAATTTTGAGTTGCTGCAATGAAAATTCAGCAAAATGGACTAGGCTGCTGCATAATTTTTCCACTTTGATTTTCGGGGTATCTTTGAATTTAGTCCTCTGTAGGTTGATTATTTTCATTTCCATCAAATGATGGGGCATCCTTAAATTCCTAACACATTACCCAATCCATATCAATGTAGATATCCAGCATGATATTTTTTTCCCCATTGATATCTGATGTGTTTTCAAAGTGTTCATTTAATTTTTTGAGCAGTGAATATTGTTTGCTAGAAAGACAATAGCTGACACTGGCTGAGGGGTACACTAACTGACATTGACATCAATAGTGACACTAATTGATTAGTTGCCTAACAATGTTTGTGTTAACTGTGTGCTGTTTTTACTAAACGATCTTGGTTTTTTCCCTGCTTTGCAGGGATAAAAACCCAGCAAGATCGCTTCTTCGTGTTCAGTCCCAGTATTGTTTATCAACACTGGGCACTGTTCTGTGACTCGCTGAGCTGATCAGCAGGTCCCAGCCATTATTCATTAGCTGAGACACGCTGATCTGCTTGTGCTGTTCCCACCAAGAACCTGGAAGAGCGGCCGCCCTGCCACTGTATATGTAAGTTGGGTGGTCTGTAAGTGGTTAAAGCTTGTATTTATCTGTTCTAGATGTATTATGGTTGTTAGGATCTAAAAGGTTAGGGCAACTTCAGGTACTTATAAATGCTTTCTGTGCGTTAAGATAAAAAAAAAACCTTCAAAAGTTGCCTTCAGCTCCCTCTTTAAACACTTACCTGAGCCTGATCTATATCCAGTACTGTGCCCATCTGCAGCAGCTCTTTTCCTCTCAGTTCTCAAAGGAGACTGCAACAACGGGAGCTATTGGCTTCTGTTGCTGTCAGTCAAATCATGTGAGGAGGGAGCAGCCTGGCTAAAGATGGAACCTGCACAAGTGCCCCCATAGCAAGAGGCTTGCTATGGTGGGCATTCTGTGAAGAGGAGGAGCCAAGATCGCTGGTGGGGAATCCCAGAAGAGGAGAATTGGAGCCGCTCTTTACAAAACCATTGCGCAGAGCAGGTAAGTATATAACATGTTTATTATCCTGAGAAAAAAAGAAGCTTTACAGTCACTTTTAGGCACCACCAAAACCTAGTGATTTTTGTCTGATATCCTGGAGGCCATTTTTAAATTCCTCTTGAAATTGCTAGTTGCTTTGATGTCTCTGACTTTAGTACTTTGTCACTGACCTAAAACAAGCTACCAGATCAGGACTGTTGGTGTGATGTCAGAACTCTTAATCTCGATACTTGTTTGATGTCAGTGACATGGCAAATAGAGAAGCAGCTTGAACATCAGGAGACTCCGAGAGATAGCATTTCCAGAAGAGGATCTGGCAGCCTACATGGCTTCTCAGTGTAGGTTTTCTTTCATTTGAAATGCTGCAGAATTTACTGATCCCTGCATTGGAAATGCCACCGTCTGACTTCTTGTCTATGCAGTGTGAGTGACTGTTGGGAAAGGAGTGAGGCAAGAGGAATGCTATATTTGGCCTCCTTTGTGTCAGTGGATAGGATGAAGAGCAGTGTGGCAGTGCTCAATGTGTTAGGAAAGATGCTGGGTTGGGGTATTGAGCCAAGAAACTAGACTTTGAAAGGAGTAGAGGGCAGGTGTTGAACAGAGGGTTTTTGGCAAGTGACCATCCGCTTCATGATGCAGCATTTGCTCCTGTGAATTGAACTGGAAAATAATTAGGTGAGATTGCAAATCATTTCTTAATTGATAGTGACCCAATATATATCCAAATAATCACTTAATCGCTCCAAATGATGATTCTTAAATATTATTATAACCAATTAGCTGCCACTTTAAATGCTGTGTCAAAACTTATCACAATTGTTATCACCCTCAATGCCAGTGACTATCAGCTGCGCTTTCATATAAATGCATTAAAACCTATCAAAAATCTCTGTGTGTATTCATTGCCTTCCTAATTTGTTCACACAATGTAAACATATTAGTATACAAACTATATATAAACCAAAAAAATGTCAGCAAATTATAGGTGACAAAAATCATATGTGACATAAATTATAGTGCTCAAAATCAATTATTAGTCCCGTGAAACAATATATAAAAATAATAAAAAAATAAAGTCCAAAAAAAATCTTCCACAACGTGAATCCTCTGTGACAGTTAATCCAGGGAAAATTTATAAACTTAATAAACCACGTGCTTTGCCTCTCCTGTACCCCCTCTCAGGTGTGCACTCACCAGAACATAGCCTTTGATTAGCCTTCTATATAAATTCCAGATACTAGGATCACCAGAACACAGTCTTTGTTCCACCTTATTGTATGGATTCCAAAACTGTTGAGATCGGGAGATTCCTCCAATCACTCATGATAAGAATTGTAGCCAGGATCATAATACATACTCCTCTCCATACATAGAAAGAGAAAACATTCGCTCCAATCGTGTATTACCCACGGTAAACAACTTTAATAGGCCAAAATATTGCACTTACAACATTAAAAAATTAATTAAGCCTTTTAAAATTAGTCTTTCAGTGAGACAGATACCGCTGGTGTTCTCACCACCCCCGGATCTGCCGGACAGAACGCGTCACGTCACTTCCGGTTCCGGATCTGCGTCACTTCCAGTCACGTCCGCTGCACTTACAACATTAAAAAATTAATTAAGCCGGTTCCGGATCTGCGTCACTTCCAGTCCGCTGCACCGTCCCGTCACCCTGACATGTTTCGTCGTATTCAGACCTAATCATAGGGATAGGGATTGCAAATAAGCCTGCTACCCTTTGAAAAGACACTAGGATACTTTATTATTGGCATTAAAGTAGAATTTCAGGCAAAACCTAGCTACTCTTAATGCTCCCTACCCCTTCCTATCACCTATTCTGACCAATCTGTGTAAGAAATATCTGTATATTTACCTATTTTTAGGCTTGTCTGGTTGTGTGATCTACCCTATGTCAGCCAGTGCTTGCTGCAGGGAAGAGGAGAGAGGGCTCGACAATGACTGGCAATGCCTGGGAGCAGTGACATCACCCATAGGCTTGTATGGCCCATGCTTTGTTAGCGCTCTCCTCTCTTCCCTGCAGCTATCACTGGCTGACACAGGGGAGCTTGATCATGTGACCGAATCGAAACTTGAAAATGGGTAAGTATATGGGTCTTACACAGGTTAGTCAGAATAGATGTTAAGGGGGGGGGGGGGGAGAGAGCATTTTTAAGAGTAGTTTTTGCCTGCAATAATACTTTAAAGTGGTTATAAAGCGAAAATGTTTTTTTACCTGAATGCATTCCCTGCATTAAGGTAAAAAATGTTTCACAACTTGATCTGCTTCAACATCTCCCAAAATACCTGGGCCCTCAATTGATCCACAGCTACATCTCCTGTCCCCTCCCCTATCCGTATCCCATTGGCTCCTGCTGCTATTAACTAAATGCTGTGAAGAGGGATTGGGGCAGGGCCAAGCCACGCTGTGTCTGTCTATGGATGCACACAGCCCGGCTTGGGATCAAGCCCACACATTTTCACCCATATAGCAAGCAGGAGG